TTCATGGCAGAGCTGGGAGCTCTGTGAGGGAAAAATAATGCCTTCAAATGCTTCAGTACTCTTCACAGGTCTTAGAATAGCATAGATAGCCCACAAATGCCTAGCTAATATTCATCAAATATTAGCTTGCTGTTCAACATGTTAAAATTTCAGGTGTTCCTGGGGCTACCAAGAGAAGATAGGAAATCAGAGTGGGAGTTATACATGACTAATCAGCATATAATTAATCACAGCAATCACAGCAGTTGGTGAGCACTGTGAGCCTAAATGTAGAGCAGGAGAACTCAAGAAGAATGCAATAGAATGCCCATGTCTTTTATGTGGGACAGGGAGAGAAATCAGTAGAAACAGATAAAAGATTCAGAGGCTAAGAAAAGAGTCAGAGGAACATAGAGTTACTATGATAAAAAGGAAATTTAAAGGAAGAAGAATGGCTTACAATGAAGTAGTAAGTCAAAAGGTATTTGGATTCAGAAAAGATCTGGGAAAAACATACCAGAGAAAGACCGTGGAGAGCATGGGTCCACAGTAGTCAGAGTAAGGGATGGCTGGGGATGGAAATGGTACATTCACTTGCTGAAGACCCTAGGATACGATGTTTAGCAAAGAATGTGTTACCCAGGACTTGGAACAGGTACATTCTGGTTCAAAGCCCTGGTAGTTAGCTAACCAGCTAGCAGACATTAACTTATAACCCAGGATGGCCTAACTCTCACCACAAACCTCCCAGCAGGATAAGCTCAATTATTCATTATAATTGGGGCTGGATACAATTATTGGGAAACCTTTTGAGTGATTCAATTTCACTGAAATTACATCATGGAAATGTGACATTATGAAGGATTGAGAATTGACTGCGGAAATATAGGAAAGCTCTGACATGAGCAACTCACACCTGGGTGACTTCCAATTCCTGTACACTAATCATGGGCCCTCTCAGTTCACTGGTGTTAGACATTCAGAATTTACTTTATAACAACAATGAGAGAGAGAGAGAAGAAGAAGACAGGACAGAAGGACCTCGAAATGTTAACAGGACCCTTCAGATAAAGAAAGTGGAGAAGCAGCATCAGACTCTGCCTCTCCCAATATGTGATGAAGCGAACATAAAAGAATTAAGATTTAAAAAACCAAAAATTCACCATCATCAACCAATAGGAAAAGGGAAGCAAAGTTATTCCAAAATTCCTGAGAAGAGTCAGCCAAGGAAAGAAATAGAAGATTCTGTCTGTACTGCCTAAACGCAGTAATCAGGAAAGGAGTGGCATGCTGAGAATTCTCTTAAATACTCTCCAATTTTGAGAAGCAAACAGAGGGGCGGGTGGATAGCCCTGAAACAGTTAAGGAAAAGCCCTTGAAGGCAGAAGCCCACACATTTCCAGGCACTCAGGAGTGACAGCGAGGCTACCTGGGTTGGCTACCTTCTGAGGCACTAACTAGGTCAAACTCGGGGAACTACCCAGAGCCTGGGCTGGGGGCAGAGGGACATCCCTGGCAAGTAGAGGGGGCCCTAGTACAGGCCTTTTAATGGTGTCCTAGAGACAGGACAGAGGCTTGCTCTCCCTCAAAAAACTTACTGAGAATGAGTGGAGCTCAAGCTGTCTCTTTCCCAACCCCTCTTCAAGCTCAAGTAGAATGGAGAGAAAGCAACCGAGCATTGAATAGGAAGACAACTGGTCCTAGACAGGTGGGGAGAGTGTTAAGGAAAACCCACCTACACCACATATGAGGAAATATAAAATTGGGACAACACAGGTGCAGACATTAAGCATGGAGGAGATGAAAAGAAATGGCATGGGGATGTATGCAGACATACCACAGCCAAAGGAAGGATGGAAAGAAAGGAAAAAAAAAAAACCACCTCAGGAACTTGGTCTGGGAGGAAAAGAGCTGAGAAGTGACTTCTCCATGGCTGTCTCAAGCTTCAGATAAACTCATTAGAAATAAGAATCCAATAAAACAAAGGCTCAAAGACAAGAAATAAACCAACAGAATATGGTGAAAAGATTGCAGAGCTATGGAAACAAATTGAGAAGCAGATGACACCAATTCAGAGCTAATAAATAAATTAAAGCGGCAAGGGACAGAACAGACGTGACTGAAAATTAAAGAAGGCACACAGGAAAGGTCTTAGATTAGTTCAGTGGATGCTGGGAAAAATGGAAAACAATCATCTCATCCAATCAAAGGGAATGTGTTAAACATAGAAGGCAAAGGTGATGAAACAAAGAGTAACTCGTTTCCTGGAATAGAAAATCCAATAAGTAAAACAGAGGCAATATTCAGAAATATAATACAAAATATTTTCCCTGAATTGAAGGATAGAGTGAATCTGGCCTCAGAATTCTCCAAAGTCATGTTCAAAATCATAGGGAAATGAAGAATTACCTAAAAAGATCCAAAAGAAATAACGTGGCCCTAGAAGAGTATACCCAACCATGCTGTATGTCTAGTATAAAGGTAACAGGCAGAAATTCTCAACACGAACAAGCTCAAAAATACAACGCTCCACCCTATCAGAAAAGGAGCTCTGGTGGCATAGTGGTTAAAGGATCTGACTGCTAACCAAAAGGTCAGCAGTTCAAACCCACCAGCTGCCCTGTGGGACAAGGATGAAGCAATCTGCCTCTGTAAAGATTTACAGCCTTGGAAACCCTCTGGGCAGTTCTACTCTGCCCAGTAGGCTTCCTACAAATTGGAATCAACCCAATGGTAGTAGGACTGAGTAAAAAATTCTGCTCCCTAGAACTGGTGATCAGAAAAACCAAGTGGTGAACGTAGGACCCGCCGAAATGTAGACCCCACCCTGCAGCTGAAAGAATTAGGAATGTCATGAAATAGTAGTGTGATAAACTCTTACAAAGTAAAAATAAAACTAATGACAAAAATTGGGTGTAGAGGGAGGATAGGAACAGGTAGAAATTGAAGTATTAATTCCCTCATCTTTCACAATGTTGTTGTTGTTGTTATGTGCCATCGAGTCGGCCCCGACTCATAGCGACCCCTCCTTGGGTTTCCGAGGCAGTATCACTACAGAAGTAGGATTGCCCCATCTTCCTTCCGAGGAGTGGCTGGTGGGTTTGAACCGCCAGCCTTCTGGTTAGCAGCCAAGTGCCTTAGGCACTAAGCTACCAGAGCTCCTCATCATCTTTCACAATAGGAAGTCAATTTTTCTGTTAAATACATGCAAAATTCAATAATAATGTTTTATTTTAAAAACAGCATCCATGACGTATTCTATTCTTTCTAAAATTATAAATCATCTAGCTAGTTATCCATCCATCCATCCTCTTAACTTAGGTATCTGAACAGAAAGCTGTCTAGAATGATGGCTACCAAGAGTTTATAAATAGAGAGAAAAAGCAGATCAGGGGCCCTGAAAACCAGAGAGAAGTGTCAGCACCTATCAGTTTCACTAGTACTTCCCATCCAAATGTACTCTTATCTCCATCCAGGCCTTGCCTTTAACTCCACACTCATACACCTAGCTACTTACTCAACATCTCTATGTAAGTATCTCAAATGGAACCCATGATATATCTTACTCCTTCTGAAAATATTTCCATCTAGCTAGTTATCCATCCATCCATCATCTTAATTTAGGTATCTGAATAGAAAGCCGTCTAGAGTGATGGCTACCAAGAGTTTGTATTAACAGAGAGAAAACGCCACACTCATATACTCAGCTATGATTCAACATCTCTATTTGAATATCCACTAAGTATTTCAAATGTAACCCATGACATATCCTATTTGTGACATGTCCAAAACCAAACTTTTGATCTTCCCTTCCTAAATCTGCTCTTCCCTCAGCCTTCCCCATTTCAGTAAATGTAGGCCAAAAACCTTGACTATCTGTTTCTCTCACACCCAATACCCCATGTGTCAGCAAATCCTATCAGCTCCATCTTCTCTCCACCTTCTTTACTATAAGCCTAGTCCAACCATTTATTCTAGACTAGATGATTGCAGCTCCTTCCTAACGGGCGCCCACTCTGTTCTTGCCCCTATATCTGTACTCCAAACAGCAACCAGAGTGATTTTTTCAAAGCTTAGGTCAGATCATAACACTCCTTTGCTCAAAACTCTCCAAGGGTTTTCACCCTAACTCAGAATAAAACCCAATGTTTTCATCATCTCCTATTCAGACTCCAGGTGCCCTGATGGTGCAGTGGTTAAGCGCTCAGCTGCAAAAAGCTGAGCTTTAGCTGGAAAAGTCAGTGGTTTAAACCCACCAACTCCTCTATGGGAGAAAGATATGGCAGTCTGCTTCCATAAAGATTTCCAGCCTTAGAAACCCTATAGGGCAGTTTTAACCTGTTCTACAGGGTACTTATGAGTTAAAATCAACTCCTGGCTTTGGTTGTTTTGGAGGCAGGCAGCTTCCTGCCTCAGAGTCTCTGCGCTTACTCTTCCCTCTACCCAGAATGCTTTTCAGAGCCGCAAGCTTCATTCCCTCACTTCATTCAAATCTCTGCTATAATAACCTCCTTTCAGGAAAGGCTTCCCTGACCAGTCTACAAAAATGCATCCCCACACACTTATCCTGTGTTACCGAGAGCAGGAATTTTATCTCTTTTTGTTCACAGATATATCCCTAGAGCTTAGAGTGCTTTTTGACACAAAGTAGTTACTCAATATTTGCTAAATAAATGAATCAGTGAAAGAACCTAATATTTTATTTCCCCAAAATACTGAAAATGTTATCTTTCTTTACTTCTGATGGATCAGACTACTCTATAGATCACTATAATTCAGGCAAATATTATTTACTCTTAGTGAACAACACATGGAAGTTACAAAAAACTCTATATAAAGTGCAGGGCTCAGAGATGATTTCTGGTGGCAGTGGTACCAGTGTTTGGGGAAGGGTGTATGATAGGGAGGGCAGGAGTATTCACCAACCCAGTGTCTGGTATGCAGAAAACAGAGCTCTGGCTGCTTTATCCTCCAGTTATCACAGAGTGAGAGTTCAGAAACTAATGTCCTCTTAACTGTACCTGTCCCTGTTGGGTCACCTCCCTGGATCATGAAGTCTTTGATGATCCTGTGGAATTTGGTACCATTGTAGTAACCTCGACGAGCCAACTCAGCAAAGTTCTTACAGGTCTTTGGAGCATGCTTCCAGTACAACTCGAGCACAATGATCCCCATGCTGTAGGAAGAGAGGAAAGCATAGTTTCCATCAAGAACAGAGTCACAGCAAATAAGAATATCATACTATACTACTCCAGGATGCCTCATTTTCAAGCTCGTAAGTTATGAAATTGTGACAACCACTGGATTTCATCAGGGCTCAGCACAGTCAAACTACCCAGTACAATCAACATGAACAGAGATTATCACCTTTGAGTAAAATACGTGGAGGTTTCTGGTACTTCTTTTAAGCAAAATAACTGAAGACAAGTCAAAATCCTAATACCTGATATATATAAGTCACCAGTCATCTGGAAGCAATATAACCAATCAGTAAATCAGAAAACAAATCTTACACTTAATTTATTGAATTTAAAGAAAAGAAAGCATTAAAGTATCAGGAGTTCATATTTATTTATACAATTATAAGTTTCTGAGTGGGAGGTAAGAACTGCGTAGACTAGAGAGAGACAAGGATAAGAAGGTTTTTTTTGTTTTTTTTTTTTTAATTTTTATTGTGATTTGGGTGAAAGTTTACAGAGCAAATTCATTTTCCATACAGCAGTTCATATACTTTGTCTCATGACATTGACTGCAATTTCCCACACTGCAACAACTCTTTTCCCACTTCCTCCCCATAGCCACCTCTTCCCTGTATCCTTCCCTCCCATGCACTCCTGCTCCCTGAGCTGTCTGCCTGCGCATACACATTCCTTCTATTCTCTCATGATTGATCTCTCGAAGGAGTGTATCTACCTAATATAAACGTTCAGCTCATATGCCTGTCTTTTGTTTGGCTGGAAGCCACAGGAGTGGGTTCAGTTCCAGACCTACAGGGCAGCTAGGGGCCATAGTTTCAGGAGTTCCACCAGGCTCTATCAGACCAGCCCCCCCCCCCCCGCCTTTATTTTAGATCTTGAGTTTTGTTCCACATTGTTCTCCCACTCTCTCCAGGATCTCCTATATAGATCCCTCTCTGAGTGACTGACAATGGTAGCTAGGCATCATCTAGTTCTTCTGGTCTCATAGTCATATAGGCTAAGGACTGCAGGGTGTACCAGTCTCTTAGACTAATTGTTTCCATGCATCTTTGTTTTTCTTCATTGTTCTCTCCTCTGGACGAGGAGAGACCCATCGTTGCATCTAGATGGCTGCTTGCAAGCTTTTAAGATCCCAGTCGCTACTCGCCAGAAAAGTAGGATGTGGAACAATGTTTTTGTGTAGTATGTTATTATGCCAATTGAGCTTGATGTCCCCTGCGACCATGGTCCTGAGCCCACAGGTCCAACTACTCGTTCCCTCCAGGTAGCTGGCTGTGGCCCAGAAATGACTACAACTTTGTCCCTTGTCAGCTCTACTATATACCTGGAAGTTCTTACAGAACATACAAAAACACTTGTAGAAACACTGTCTGCTGTAAGTGGTCATGGGCACACTCCCCCCTGCATAGACATACCTAGTCATTCAGCCTGTCCACCCACCTATCCACCCATAGATCAATGTTTGCCTTCACTGACAATGCAGTACTGTATGTGCAAGAGGGTTCATCTTTGTTGTCTGTATCCCATGCATCTCTCTCTGTCTTCCTCTTCCTCAATGTCACCGTGTTGATCACTCACATTTGGTACACTGCCCTTCCCCTCACCCAAATCAATACTTGTCTCTAACTATCTAGCAGTGTTCCCTCCCCTCCCCTCTCACCCCTAGTAACCAACAAAGGCCATTTCCTTCCATATAGAAACCTTTTCTTGACTTTTTACAATGGACTAATACAGTATCTGTCCTTCTGTGATTATTTCACTCAGCATAATATCCTCCAAGTTCATCCATGTTATGCAGTGTTTTGCAGATTCTGTTATTCTTTAGAGTTGCATAGTATTCCTCCATCGTGTGTAAGTACTATAGTTTGGTTATCCATTCATCGGGTGATGGGCACCTAGGTTGTTTCCATTTTTCTGCTACTGTAAATAGTGATGCGGTGAACATGGGTGTGTATATATCTATTCTTGTCCTGGCTCTTACTTCTTTAGGATATATACCTAGTCATGGAATTGCTGGGTCAAATGGTATTTCTAATTCCAACTTTTTAAGGACTTGCCATACTGCTTTCCACACTGGAAATTTGACAGTCCCACCAGCAGTGTATGAGAGTCCCAACCTTTTCACATTCTCACCAGCATTTGTTATTTTCTGTCTTGTTGAACTTTGCTACTAGTGCTGGGGCAAGATAGTATCTCATTGTTTTGATCTGCATCTCTCTAATGGTTAATGATCATAAGCATTTCTTGATGTGTTTGTTGGCTGCCTGAATATCCTTTTCGGTGAAGTGCCCATTCATGTCTTCCATCCATTTTTAAACTGGATTGTTTGTCTTTTTATTGTTGAGGTACTGGAGTTTTCTATAAATTTTAGCTGTAAGTCCCTTGTCAGATATGTCATTACCAAATATTTTTTCCCAATCTGTAGGTTTGCTTTTTACTCTTTTGGAAAAATCTTTGGAAGCACATAAAAATTTAATTTTTAGAAGGTGAGAGGAAGGTTTTTTCAATGAATAGCTTTAAATACGTTTTCTATTTCAGAACCATGTAAATGTACTACCTGTTAAAAAAAATTAATTAAAAAAAAAAAGTATACCTTGTGTGTGTTTGGCAAGGGGTGCAACAAAGGCAAAATCTGATCAAACCTTTGCATTTACCCAATGTGATGAGCACTTTTTTTCCCTTCCAGTACTATTAAGGATTGGGAAGAAGCTAGGACAGATGTCTTCTCCTCCACTCCATCACTCACTAGATTTTAAGCTGTAAGAATATGAGAACTGAGTCCACTCTGGATACCCAGTGCCTAGCACAGTTCCTTGAACATTGTAAGCACTCTACAAATACATGTAAAATGTGCTAGAAAACAGCATCCAGGCCTTTCTGCCTGCGATCCATCCTTCACACTAACATTCAACATGGATTAATGGTTATTCTGTGCAAGGCATTGTTCTACATGCTTTTACCCTCATGGAGCTTATATTCTGGTGCACATATGTTAAATAGAGGGAATAACCTTTTGGAATAACAATTAAGAAGTCTCATTGGATTTTTAAATGTACATACCTTTTGACTCAGTAATTTCAACTTCTATGTATCTACCTTCTGGACACTACCCTAAGTGTCTAAGGATCCAATGTGTATTCCAGCATTAGAGCAAAAATCAAGAAGCTATTTAAACATCCCTCAAAGAGGAAATGAGTACAATATGAAATATTCATACTATGGTAAAGGAGCTCTGGTGGCATAGCGCCTAAGGCATTTGACTGCTAACCAGAAGGTTGGTGGTTCAAACCCACCAGCCACTCCACAGGAGGAAGACTGGGCGATCTACTTTGGTAAAGATTTACTGCCTTGGAAACCCAAAGAGGGTCACTATGAGCCAGAATCAACTCAACGGCAGTGAGTTTGGTTTTTTCATACTATGGCAAGCTATATATTACTGGCTGAAAGAAAAGCAAATTACAGCAAGACCATATGAACCTATTTTTGATAAAAAAGAAAACAAGTAAGAGATGTTAGATGTAATACAGAAAAAGAATCGAAAGATCATTTAACAAACTACTAATAGTGTTTATGGGGAGGAGGTCGCTTTCATGTCTTACTCTATATACTTCTATACTGTTTGGATCTTAATTGTATTTTGTAATTAATAGATATGTTAACTGGGGAAGTCAGCAATTATTTCGAAGTTAGGGCCTGAAGGAGGAAAACTTTGCCATTTAAGAAGGTGGGGAAGATGGCCAGGGAGTAAGAGCCCAAAATAAACCAACTGTCATCAAGTTTTTCCAGTATTATATCAGACAGTGTTTCCCTGCTATTCATAAGATTTTCACCAGACAAATCTTTAAGTGGATGACCTCTTCCAACGGAAAAAGGGGAAGGCCCTCAACAAGACGGACTGACACAGTGGCTGCAACATGGGCTCAGGTATAGCAAGGATCATGAGGCTGGCACAGGACTGGGCAGTGTTTTGTTCTGTTGTACATAGGGCTGCTATCAGTCAGAGCTGACTCAAGGGCACCTAACATAATACAACAACATCATCGAGTTGATTCTGACTCATAGCGGAAACACATAGAACAAATACAGAGGGACTGAGAGAACTCTGTGTTCTTGTGGAAAGCAGCTTGGGCAAGAATAGAAAGCAGAGACTCTGGCTGGGCCCTAGCTGCTGATGCAGGAATGGCAGGTGTAACCAGAGAGGTAGGTAAGTGCCAGGTGAAAAAACCACCTTGAACGTCAGACTTAGAGATTTAAACATTATATTGTAGCAGCAAGAAGTCAGTTAAGGTTTTTGAACAGGATCTCTTGTCCTCCTTTGGAAACGATCCCTCTGAATTTTTTCCAGAGTCAACAGAATAAACACGGTTAAAGCCAAAATATGAGGCAGACAGACTAAGTCCAAATAAGATGTGTAGCTTTCTTTGGTGAACTCCTTTAATCTGTAAAACCTGTCATTTTCCCTGCTAAAATTGGAGAGGAGGAAGTGGAAAAACATCTACTTGATTTGAATTGCTAGGATTACCAAGGGTAAGGGACATGGCACTAGCTGCTTGGTGCTTAATTGTATTATTAATTATATCATTCTGATTGTGGGGAAAATGTGCTTCTTCCTGTGATTTCAATTTGTTTATACAATGTAGTACTTTCACGTAATTAACTGCATATCTGTCTCCACTATACTGTGAGCTCCGAAGGGCAGAGCTGTGTACGTTTCATCCATCTCCGTAAGCTCCATTCCCACATCCTACGTACCTCGCCTGTGGACTCAATACACGCTTGTAGAATAAATGAATGAACAGAGTGGCGGGAAGAGGACAATCAGGCAGCTGTTGCTGAGGTCTCAGCGTAAGTCGATGAGAAGGAGGGCGGTGGCGGTCCCCACTGAGCCCTCAAACCACTCTCACCGCCGCCGCTCTTCCACGTGGAGGCTGGCCTCCGGGGAGAGCGCCGGGAGGCGAGTCCCTTGGCGAGGCCGAGGCTCCGCATCGCTTCCGCCAGCCCAGCCCCTGAGGCCCGATACCCCTCACCTGGTTTCCAAGTATACGTTGGGCGGCTGCCAGGAATCTGGGGGGATCGCCGCCATAGCGAAACCTGCGGGATCCTTCTCTAGCAATTGCTACTTCCGGCGTCGATTCACTGGGGACCCCCCACTGCCGCGAACACTTCCGGTCCTTTTCAGTCCCAAGATTTTGGGGGTTGGGACAAGGAGAGAGGAAGACTCTTCCTTCTCAGGTCGCAGAGCTCTGGTGCTAGGCGAAAAGAGGCGGGGGCGCAAGGACAAAATAAAATGCACGCTGTATTAAAGCTAGCCTCCAAAAGGCGGTATCAGGCCACTCTCCGAACATCTGATTGGTTTGTTTAAGCGTGGACGGCAGGAACACCAGCATATCTACACTCTGATTGGACTTAAATCCTAATGTTCAAATCCTAGAATATCCTAGTCTAGTCCTACAACTGGGCAGGAACCAGAAGGGGAGGTAGAGAATTCTTTAGTCTCTTAAAGAGTGGAGAAGAGATACCTGTAATTAAATGCTTTTGGAAGGCTCTGTACGGATTACATGGTGCTTACACTTTTCTATCTCTTTTACCCCACAAAGCAATCCTGTGAAATACTGTTCTTATTGTAGTTAGATGAAGAAGAGTCTGTTCAAACTCAGCGACTCTATTTACAACAGAAAAAACCCTTCCAGGTAATGCGCCATCCTCACAGTCGTTGCTATGCTTGACCTTTCTTTGCACTCACTGTGCCAGTCCATCTCCTTGAGGATCTTACCCTTTTTCTCTGACCTTCTACTTTATCAAGCATGATATCCTTCTCCAGGGACTGGTCCTTTCTGACAACATCAGGGACAAAGTCTGGCCATTCTTGCCTCTAAGAAGCATTCAGACTATACCTCTTCCAAGACAGATTTGTTGGTTCTTCTGGCAGTCCATGGTATTTTCAATATTCTTCGCTAACACCACAATTCAAATGCATAGATTTTTCTTGTCTTTCTTATTGTCTGGCTTTCATGTGCATATGAAGCTATTGAAAATACCATGGCTTAGGTCAGGTGCACCTTAGTCTTCAAAATGACATCTTTGCTCTTTAACCCTTTGAAAAGGTCTTTTGGAGTAGATTTGGTCAGTGCAATACATCGTTTGATCTCCTGACTGCTGCTTCCATTGGTGTTGATTGTGGATCCAAGGAAAATGAAATCCTTGACAACTTCAATCTTTTCTCCATTTATTGTGATGTTGCTTACTGGTCCAGTTATGAGGACTTTTGTTTTATGTTGAAGTGTAATCCATCCTGAAGACTATAGTCTTTGATCTCCATCAGTAAGTGCTTCAAATCTTCTTTCAGCAAGCAAGGTTATGTCATCTGGATATTGCAGGTCGTTAATGAGTCTTCCTCTGATCTTGATGCCATGCTCTTTTTCATATAGTCCAGCTTCTTGGGTTATTTGCTCAATATACAGATTGAATACATATGGTGAAAGGATGCAACTCTGACGCACACCTTTCCTGATTTTAAACCATGCAATATCCTCTTGTTCTGTTTAACAACTCCCTCTTGGTCTATGTGCAGGTTCCTCATGAGCACAATTAAGTGTTCTGGAATTCCCATTCTTCACAATGTAACCCATAATTTGTAATGATCTACACAGTCTAATACTTTTTGCGTAGTCAGTAAAACACAGGTAAACATCTTTCTGGTATTCTTTGCTTTCAACCAAGATCCATCTGACATCAGCAATGATATCCCTCGTTCCATGCACTCTTCTGAATCTGGCTTGAATTTCTGGTGGTTCCCTGTCAGTATACTGCTGCAAGTTTTTTAAATTATCTTCAGCAAAATTTTATTTGTGTATGATATTAATGATGTTATGTGCCATCGAGTCGGACCCAACCTTGGGTTTCTGAGGTGGTATCACTACGGAAGTAGATTGCCCAACCTTCCTTCCGAAGAGTGGCTGGTGGGTTTGAACCACCACCTACATGCCCTAATAATGCCTAAATGAATACTTACCATGTGCCAGGCATGTGCTGAGCACTTTCGCGTGTATTTTCACACATGATCTTTACAACCCACGAGGTAGATATTATTTTTTTACTTTGCAGAAAGTCTTAACGAGATTAAGTAACTTGCCCAAAGTACCACAATTGGTGATCATGTGCTTTTAAACACAGATCAACCCCAATTTCTTTCATTGTAAAGATCAAACTAGTAAGTGAGTTAGAGAGATGCAATGGGCCTCCATCTTTTCATCCTCTTTATATGGTACCAAGGAGCTCTGGTGTTGTAGTGGGTAAGACATTTTGCTTCTAACCAGAAGGTCGATAGTTCAAACCCACCATTATGGGAGGAAGATGAGGCAATCTACTTCTGTAAAACTTTACAGCCTTGGAAACTCAATGAGGGTCACTATGAATTGGGTTTGTGCCCCTCCCTCCACCCCAACACACACAGTACCAAGAACAAGGTGCTCAGGTTTCATTGAATGAATAAAGGTCAGAGAAGTACATGTTACACTGATGAGTGCTGTGCTAATATAAGGTATAATTAATTTTATACCTGCTGCAGTCTTGGGTTCTTTCCTTCTTCATGACCCCTGAGCTAGAGGAAAAGTCTTAATCATTGGGCCATTTTGTCTGTTATTTATGTTGCCTGTGTCTGGACTTAGTAGTTCTTTCCTGTCTTAAGGAACAGTGGATAGTGAAATGTGCATGAAGTTTTGCACAAAAATAAGACAGTGTTTTGCTGTCTCTTTCCAAAGTCTATCCTCGAGAGGCTTTTTATTTGTTGGCAAGAGAGCACTGGGTATCACGTCTTTGAAAAGAGTTGACAAAGAGACTTGGATTCTATTTCTGGATTATAGCTGATAGCTCACATTAAAGTCAGAATAAAACTTGTATTTACTTCACTTTCATATTTTGTATCTATGCTTAATGTCTTCTGAATATTGGCAGGTGCTCTTGAGTTGATTTTCAACTCAGTGGTATCTGACAAAGTTCTCATTAAATATTAATAAATTTGAGTGATTTGTTTGCTTGTCTTTTACACTAGCTGCTCTCCATTTACGTATCACTTCCAGCCCAACCCTTTAATGCCTAACACTTTCCTAACACGTAATAGGGAACTCAGCAAGTAACTTTTGGCTAAAAAGGAGCAGTTCAGCCAAAAAATATCTATCTACCTGCCCAAGAAAGAAGACCCAAAGAGGAAGAGGTAGAGCGCAAGAGGAACGCCAGGGGACGCAAGAGTCCGTGCTCAACAGATCTCGCGAGAGTTCCCGCGCGCTCTGTGAAGTCCCGGTGCTCTGTTTTGGCGGAAGCTCGGGGCGGGAAGGCAGAACTGCCCGAGGGCTCGCGGCCTCTTCTGTGACTGGGCGGTTGCTTCCGGGTTGTGCGCCCGGATGTAGGAAGTTATCGGCCCAGCCTCCTCGCTCGGCGGCAGCCGTCCCCGAAGCGGGAGGAGCCCAAGGGGGCGCGGGCCCCCGCATGTGAGTGACTGGGGCTAGAGGTTGGGAGGGGGGAGGCCGCCCTGTGACAGCCTCGCCGCCGCGCTCCTCTGTGACAACTCTTGCAGCCACTGTCTTGTCGCTACTGTCACCCCTTGCCTCCGCGCTGACCTGTTTCTTGAGTCTCGCGTCTTCCAGGCTGACAGCGTACGCCAGGAACTCCCCTATGGTCGGCATAGTTTAGACATCCTTTTTTATTCCTTCCCTTCTCAGGGGAGAGCAAAGGGTGGTCGACTCTGCTTGAACTTGTTTCAGAAGCGTCACAGTAATATCCCGAACATGAGCGGTGCTAGCGAAGTCTAGATTTCATTGCCCTTTTGACAGAATTTTTATTTGTATTATTCTGAAACATCTTTTAAAAATAACTGTTAAAGGAAAGAGATGTGTTTTTTAAGTATAGACTTGGAATGTGATAGACTGACATCCGGATTTCAGAAAAGGAATATGACTCGGTTTATTGACGCGAGTAAATGAGCTGTTTCTAATTGCCCTTTAGGACAAGCAAATGCCTGCCTAGTGTTGTGTATCATTTTAAGATCATTAACCCTGCAGACCACACTCGTTTTGGTCTGAGAGCCCTCAGCCCTGGTGTTTGGTAATACATTTGTCTTAAAATATTCGTCTTCGATCACATATTAATAAAGACTACTCCCAAATACTTAGTATTCTGACTTTCTGATTGTTTGTTTTTAGTTCCAATGGTGGAGTCTTCTAGGAACACTTTTCCCCTAAATTCTTTTATTTGAATTTGAGTTGTCATAGTTTCCTTCTAAGGAAAAGCATACCTTAATGTTACTAAATTCAGCTTTGCTGTTTTGAAGTTTTGGCTGAAGGTTCACATAGAGAAAAGAGACTCTGTCTGCCCCATCCCGTCCTAACAGCCTTGGACTAAAACAGTTTCAAGATCTAGTTTGAGTCCCTGCTTCTTCACTGCTACCCTACAATACTGCAGAAAATGCCCAAATGTAGGTTCCTAACTTGCCCATAAATCTTCATCAGACTGATGCATTTAAAAAAAAAAAAGAAAGAAAAAAAAATGCAAATGAATAAATTAGTTTGTGGTCAGAATGATCAGTGTAAGTCCTTTTAATAAATCTGTTCAACGTCAGATTCTATGTTTCTGAGGTTAATTTCCATATCCAAGCAAGAATTTCAATTTTCTGTCCTTAGTTTTGTGTGTCACTATTGTGCTTAAGGCATTTGACTGCTAACCAGAAGGCTGGAGGTTCAAACCCACCATCCACTCCTCGGGAGGAAGATTGGGCAAACTACTTCTGTAGTGATACCACCTTGGAAACCCAAGGAGGGATTGCTGTGAGCTGGATCCAACTCCACTGCAGTGAGGTTTTTTTTTGTTGTTGTTATTTTCTCCATTTACCTCTGCTTTTAAAGCATTCACAATTTAGTGTAAAAGGTAGACAGGGAAAGGGCTGTAATTCAGTGTGATAAATTTATGTTTAAGATTCAAAGGGGACAAAAATTGAGGTAAAAAACTTGGAGTGTAATTATTGGACAAGACACAGTGGGGGGCTAGGCTTTATAGGCAGAGGAAATCAAGTGTACAAAAGCAAAAAGATGTAAAACAGTATGACATTGTAGAATGTGAGGAAAGATTAATGGAGAGTGAGGCTGGACGGGTTGGCAGTGACCAGATGATAAAGGGCCATGCTAAAGAATTTGAACTTGATCTTTTAACAACTTTTATTAAGTTTTTCTGGATATTTGGAACAAATGTTTTACATACTTCATGTTACAATACCCTCAACAACATTGTGGAGTAGACATAATTGTCCCCATTTTAAAAATGGAAGCTCTGAGGCTTGGAGGGGTTAAGTACTGACTCCTGACCATATTTAAAAAACAAAAAAACAAAAAAAACCAGTTGCTATGGAGTTGATTCTGAGTCATTGTGACCCAAGTGTGTCAGAGTAAACTGTGCTGCACAGGATTATCAGTGGCTGGTTTTCAGAAGTGGATAGCTAGGCCTTCTAAGGCATCTCTGGGTGGACTTGAACCTCCATGCTTTCAGTTAGCAGCCAAGTGCACCACCTATGACAGTTTATACCACCCATGGCCACATAGCACGTGCAAAATCTGCAATTTGTGTCCAGCTCTTTCCGGTGTCAATGCTTGTTTTTTTAACTACTGTGCTAAACTGTGCCCCAGCAGGAGATGGGAATCATGGAGGGTGTTTTTAAGTAGTTGAGTAATGGGAACCAATTGGTGTTTCAGAAGAGTAACTTGTTGACAGGGTAGAGGATGGATCAGAGAGGAGAAAGGGGACTGGATGTGTAGAGATTAACTGTATCTTTGTGATGCTCTATATCTATAGGAAGGATGTTGAGGGCCTTGATTATTTTATTGATGTAGTGGTAGAGAGAAGGCAACGAATTCTAAAACTATATAGGAAGTAGAATCAAGAGGATTTATAGATTGGTTCATTGGTGGGAATGAAGAAGGAGGAGGAGAAGTTTTACATTTGGGGGACTAGTGTTCCATTAATTAGGAAAAGGAATAAAAGAGAAGGAATGGGCTGTAGAAGAAAATAATAAGTTCAGTTACGGGAACTAAGTTCATATAGGGGACTATGGGGAATTCTGGTAGGTAGATAGAGCTCAGAGAGAGTTCTAGGCTAGAGAGAGAGATTTGGAAATGAATAATAGCTAGTGGTTAAAGCCATGGAGGGAATGAGAACAGCGCCAAGGACAACAGTGGTGAATACCAGCATTCAAGGGCATAGCTTCTGGAGAGAGTACAAGAGAATTATGCCAAAGTTTGAGAGCACTTCAGGGAGATTATAGCAGTGCCAGCTTCTGAAGAGAGATCAGATAAGGGGTAACTGAAAAATGGCCTTTGGACTTGGCATTTAGAAAGCCTTTAGTGGATTTAATTTTTTTTTAATGCATTTTATTGAAATATAATTTATGTACAGGGAAATACACAAAACTAAAGTGACAGGGGTCAATACATTTTTTTTTTTTTTTCAGTGTTCCCTCCCCTCCACTCCCACCCTTGGCAACCAACAAATAAAGTTTTCCTCCATATATAAACCTTTCCTTGATCCTCCACAACAACGAACTAATACTATATTTGTCCTTCTGTGATTGACTTATTTCACTCAGCATGATGTCCTCCAAGTTCATCCATATTATGCCGTGTTTTACAGAATCTACGTTATTCTTTAGTGCTGCATAGCATTCCATTATGTGCAGGTATCATAGTTTGGTCGTCCACTCTTCCATTGATGGGCATGTAGGTAGTTTCCATCTTTTTGCTATCGTAAATAGTGTGTGATGAACATGAGTGTGCATGTATCTGTTCCTATCCTGGCTCTCACCTAAGATATATACCTAGTAATGGGATTGCTGGGTCAAATGGTATCTCCATTTCCAGCTTTATAAGAAATTGCCATATTGCTTTCCTCAGTGGTTGTGTCACTTGACAGTCCCACCAGCAGTATATGAGAGTCCCAGTCTCTCCACATCCTCACCAGCATTTCTTATTTTCTGTCTTGTTGAACCTTGCCATCAGTGCTGGAGTGAGACAATATATCTCATTGTTGTCTTGATTTACATCTCTCTCATGGCCAATGATTGTGAACATCTCTTCATATATTAGCTGGCCACTTGAATATCCTCCTTGGTGAAGTGTCTATTTATGTCTTCTGTCCATTTTTCAATTGGATTGTTAATTCCTTTGGTGTTGAGGCGTTGGAGTGTTCCATCAATCTTGGAGATAAGTCCTTTGCCAGATATGTAATTATCAG